AAATACTGTGACACAACGTTGAAAAGAATTATACTCTACAAACCTACTCTTATACTCTACAAACAAGTAAAATGGAATTTTGAAATGTCTTTTATTTTGATTGTGTTGACTAATCTACATTATATTATTCTATATTGAAAATCGGCTTATTATAAATGTGCATTATGTTTATAAGTATTCATTCAGTTAACTTTTGTTCCAAAATATAGAATTTATTCCAAAATATAGAATTTATTCCAAAATATAGAATTTATTCCAAAATATAGAATTTATTCCAAAATATAGAACTCTTTTTACACCTATCTCTTTTTTTATAGAAGAGGGGGCAAACGAATATACGGCTCACCTGACTACCGCCGTCCATGATCAACCACAACACCAGGGGAATCACAGGTGCGTTGCCGACCCTTTAGAAAGGAGTAAGCTCTTTTCTTGAAGGTCCCTAGGTCGTATCGGTCCGGAAAAATCGCCGGTGGTAAACTATTCCACAGGGAGGTCGTACGCGGAAGAAAACTCCTTGTGAAACGTACAGTGGTGGACCGCAAAGCATCCAGATGGTGTGGATGGTATCGAGACGTTTGCCGCGTAGTGCGTTCACGAAATTTGGCGCCTGGGATTAATCCAAAGAATTCCTCAGAGCACTCAACGTGGTATATGCGAAAAAGATGCAACATCTCTTCGCAGCGCCAGTGAATTAGAATCGTTAGATCGTTAATTAAAAAATCTCAAACATTCTCTCCTTTTTATCTTTCAAATTCAAAATGCGTGCCCTTTATCGCTTTTTACTGGAATCGAGGTATTCCATCTCAGTCCTCACTGGTGACAAACCATTTACATTTTGATTCTTAATTTAGGATAAATGTGGATATCTATGAGCCACTGCATCCACCTGATCGTAGGTAGGTGGATTGTGTGCTCGTTGGTCACCCAATGCTATAAAAATGCATTATTTTAACTGATTATATATAGATATTATCATTCGTAAGTATCGATCGGTGGCGAAAACGTTGTTGCCCATAAATCTCATTCAATTTTGGATAATTTCCAATAACGGTATATCTTTATTAGTATTTTCAAACTTAAATTAAAAATTTGGCTACTTTCTGAAAATAAGCCTGTATATAGGTGGAAATAACGCCTGAGGTAAACTATTAATTATCTACAGTCTACCTTAGAGTAATGCAGAGATAAAATGTGCAGACGTGCAGTTTCGTGGTCACTTGGAAGAGAAGGCCAAATTGGCCTTTAAAAAGCTTGGCGTGCTCAGCAGAGCGGGACAGTATTTCATTCTGGCACACCGCCTGCAATTTTAAGGCGTAGGTTCGGCCTCACATGGAATACCGTTCCCATCTCTGGATTGGGCCTCCCCAGTGTCAGCTACTTCCACTTGACTGCATCCAGCGCAGAGCGGCTCGAATCGTCGGCGATCGAGTGCTTTTCGATCGACTCGATTCACTAGCGCTGTGTTTTGATTCTTACCACGGAGATTGATCTGAGAAATTGTTCGGATTAATCCCAGCCGCCAAATTTTATGAACGCACTACTCGGCAACCCTCCCGATACCGTCCACACCATCTGGATGCTTGACAGTCCATCACTGTACGATTCACTAGGAGTTTTCTTCCGCCTACGACCTCTCTGTGTAATAGTTTATCACCGGCAATTTTTCTGGACCAATACGACCTAGAAACCTTCAACAAAATAGCTTATCCCTTTCTAAAAGGCCGGCAACGCCAACGCACCTGCAATTCCCCTGGTGTTGCAGTTGTTCATGGGTGGCGGTAGTCACTTGTCATCAGGTGAACCGTATGCTCGTTTGCGACTGCCTCGTTGGTCTAGTAGTTGTAGTAGTGCGACTGCTGATCATGAGGTCCTGGGTTCGAATCCCGGGTCGGGCCAACAAAGTCAATTATTGAGTTTTTCCGTCAAAAAATTTTCAGTAGCTGCCCCGAGTCAGGAAGTTAGTGGTGTCTCACCCCCGTGCCTCGGAAAGCCCATTGGTCTTGCGCCTGATCTCTCTCCGGTCGTGTCGGTTTACCGTCCCATCGGATTATAAGAGTGAGGGAATCGAGAGTGCACATGTGCTTGTGCATACACTTGGGCACTATAATCCTGTCCTGCGTCGATGGCTAGCATCCGTTGAGGGAGGCCGCCGTGGCCGAAATTCGGTCTGGAGGACATTATGCTCGTTTTCCCCCTTTCCTACAAAAACAAAGGTAGACGAGTAGATAACGCTTCGGACATTAAGTCCGCATATATCAAATAAACTATCGTATGAGACGCAAACTTCATGCTGGCTGGTTTTTGATATTTTTTATTTATTTAATTTTTTATCGTTTTCATTTGCTTTTTACGACTGACATGCCCGTAATACTAAAATGCGACAAAATGATTGATGCTATAAAGCATTAGGTCTGTCATACTTATACAGCGTCACATAGTGCACGTCAAGCTGCATTAGTGTCTATGATCTGCTTGATATAATACTTTTTCACACATTTTTACATTTGCATTGCTTCAGCTAGGACTCATCCTATATTTCTTCCTCTTGTTTTTTATCAGCACCTAAAAGTGTATTGCCAAACATGGCCTCTCACGTTGTAGGAAAGGTTGTCCTGTATTGTTATGCTTGGTAGGTGGATTTTCAATTACAGTATCCGACCTCTCCCACTTTTGACGCTATTCCCCGTTAATGATCTAGATATTTTACTTCTAGCGTAAACGTGATGATTTTAAGAATTTGATTTCTGGCGTGATCCATCATTATCATTATCATCATTACAGGCCCTTCACAAGACCAATGCTGAAGATAAGCCTCCCCCAAAGAATGACACAACTGCATCTATCGACTTCTTGTATGTCTTACCAGATCACACGACCTAGTGGGGGGTCGCCCTACACTTCGACTACTGGTACAAGGCTGCTACTCGAGAACCTTTCTTCCCTATCGGTTGTCGGTTCTTCAAGCTATGTGGCCGGCCCATTGCCACTTCAGCTTACTAATCCGTAATCCGTTTCCTATAGTCGCTTCGTAAAATTATTCGATCTTCTTTCGACTTAAGCTATCCCAAATATGGACAATGGTAGACAAACAGACGAGCGTAGTTCCGGGTATTTAGCACTTTAAACATGGATAATGGTAAATAGACAGAAGAGCGCGGTTCCAGGTATTTGGTACTTTAGACATATACCGACTTATTATAAATCCTGGTTTATTGATATTCTCGAGCTTAAACTATGGTTTAAGATGAGTCCTTCTCACTAAAACAAAATTTTATGTTTGCTGTCAAACTCCATAGTTTACATTTTAGTTCGCTAATATACGTGGGACTTTTCCAGAAACAGATATATAGATTATCTAGTATAAACCTGAGTACAAACTACTTTTTGTAGTAAGACGGCAATAATCGCTTTACTTGTCTATTTTATGGTCCAAATATGAAATCGATAATAATTTGTCAATTCTCAGCACTACGTAACATATTAAAAACAATTACTTAACAAGGAAATTTAATTCGAAGCGACGTCGTCAAGGAAAATAACACGTACGTTACTCTGGCCAGCTAGATATCACTAAGTTTGATAAATGCCGAATCATTTCGATGAAGAGACAATATTGGGTCTTATTAACGTATACGCGATAATAATTGGTGGAACTGTCCTTTCCAATCTATACTCGTATGTTATTTTTTACTGTAAAAGATTGTATCTGTCTAAAACGTAGTTACGGAGATCATTTCACATTTCTCATAGTCATTTTTGTGTTATAATTTAGCTTCACTATTCATATTCCTTATTGTTCTTTAAATTATTAAAGTATTACAGCTAATAATCTAGTAAGTCCCATTTTTTTTATTATCAGCGAATTTCTTACCAGTTATTCGTATATATATAAATAAAAAAAATTATTACTACATTAAATATTTCTAAAAACATATTTACAATCGATTTAAATGTTCATCCCAGAAGGTTATTGTTTAAACGACGTTGCGAAAAAATGGATCTCTGATCAAAAATGTTTACTTTAGTAAACATTTCTCGACATGTCTACGATACATAGAATGAGACTTTCAATATTTTTTTATAAACACGCATATTACACGTCAAATAAGCTTAATTTTGTGATATTTATTGTATTTTAAATTCCTATTTCAAAATAAATTACCACAGGAGAATACCATGTGATCACTTGAAACGTTGTAAATGAAATAATAAAATAGCATCATAAAATCCGCAATATGAAAATATTTAATACAATGCTGACAACGAACTGTCGTTAGTGGCAGTAAATAATTATTTCTCATATAGCATAAAATCCTTGTAAAGTTTTTTAAACATAAACAAATATTAACTTTTATATTCTTATATTATAAAAGTTAATATTACTACTTAATTTTTTAAGTTATTAATAAAACGATATCACTATCGAGGAGAAATTAATATCACTCTTCCCTATAACACAGATGAAAACAAAATTTCATCTGTGTTACAGGGATGTGCGCCTTTTTATTTCTCTATTTTCTTTTTACATTAATTGAACTAAGGAAACGTTAGTTGCTTGGAAAAACGTATCCGTTTGACCGTTAGTCATAGAATGTTATTTAGTTAAAAAAAGGTGTTTTGTTTATAAAAAGAAACGTCAGGAGATAAAAATAAGCTTTAAAAGTTTGTGAAATTTAACGCGATAAAATCGGTAAAATTCTTATTATTCATTTAAAAGTTGTCTCAAATTATACCCCTCCCCGTAAAATTTTAATGTCCGACCTTCAGATTCTAAAGATAACATTATCATATAATATTTTCTCAAATATTCTCTCAAAAACTACGTTTTAAATATACATTTAATCTTTCATAATTAAATCGTATAAATGAAACAACCTTAAACGATTAAATGTAAATGCTTTAAACCATTATTTTAATTATGTTATTCTCCTTAATCCTTTTTTTAATATTTCGAACTAGATGTTAGTAGAGTATTAATGATTTGTTTTGTACTTTAGTTTTTTACAATGGGTGGATGGCTAAGCCAGTTATGGTGGGGAGGTGATCCCGATGAAGTAAACCCAGTTTCGGGTATGACACGAAGGGAAGTCTACGCCGTCCAGCGCTCCTGGGCTCCTGTTTACAAAGACTCCGTGGCTACTGGCACCGAACTTCTTAAAAGGTTTGACTTTAGACTTATAAATATAAATCAACAACTATCTTTAACAATATCATAAAATTGCCTAGTTTTACATTTAGGAAACAAAATAAAGATTGAAAATTTTCAATTCCAAATTTAATATCATCGACTTATGAATAGAATATAATAAATGAAACTATTTCTTAAGGATTTTATCGCGTTTAATTTAACTTTATACCCGACGTTTCGGGGGCTTTACTAGACCCATGGTCACGGGAAGACTAAGTTGTTTGATGTCATCAACGCAGAATGAGCTTACAGTATCTAGAAGTCTTGCAACGGTATGCTTAAGTTTGGATTTAATTTTATTAATTATAGGATCCCAAGCAGATGGTAGTATCCATTCATCTGCTCTATGTAAATTAGGATGTTTTTTTTTTAATTTCAATAGCCTCGCGAATCATCCTAGGTGGGAATTTAGGTTCTTTGTTTTGTTCTTTTGTTTCTGTGTTTTCATTTGTGGTGTATGAAATCTAATGTAATGGCGGGCTCGATCTTGAACATGTTCACAGACTGCAGATTTCTTGGAACGCTTCATGTCAGCCATATGTTTTTTTACGCGAGGTCTTATAGATCTTTTTGTTTGTCATATGTACGAGAAACCATTCACAATCAAGCTTGTACACTCCTGCATCTTGTGGAGGGATATTGCACTTGACGGATGGTAAAAAATGGACTAATCTTCTTGTAGTAGGTTTTAATTGAAGCTCGCTTCAAGATGGCCAATCTTTTCTGTGACTCCTCTGACGTACGGTACTACAGCAGGCACACGCAATAACTCACAACAATGTGCCTCGCGTTAGTCTAATACGACAAAAATTTAATTTAGCGATGATCATAACAGCAAAATGTACCTATGCGTATATCTAAATCGACTTATTTATTTTTGACAGGCACTCAATTGAGTGATTCGCTGTAGGTGCTTCACAATACGAACGACGGAATTCAATCTTGACCCTTTGTGAATAGCATTCCTCACGCACACTCAGACCAACAAAACAGATAAATAGAATGAGTTCTTACGTATGCGTACTTACATAAAATACACTTCAAGACGCCAATACCATGCCCAACTTCTTGACACGCACACATCTTTCTTCTTTGTTTCTAAATTAACCTGTTAATGTTGACTACTGGACGCACACATGTACCTAAAATCACGTAATTAATTTCGCATGATTTTAGATGCGTGTTAGATAGAGACATAATTTCGACTTGATATATCGTCAGTTGAAGTGTAATGCCTTATTTTGTAAGTCTGTGGTCACACATAAAACAAAATGAAGCTAAAATCGGTATCTAGTTCATATCCTCACGTTACTAATAAATTGATCTAATCAAGACCCAAATAAGATTATGGTTCATGTATTTTAATGTAAGAAAATAATTTATAGTAACAATTAATTTGACTAATAATGTGGGTGTCTTCAAGGCAGGAGTGAACAGACATTTGTTAAGTTAAATCAGTGCGCTTTACCATCTTTGGCTGAATCCTCACGTACCATCGCATCGGGTGGGTTAGTTAAGCCCTGGCTTATAATAGTTAAAAAAATTTAACTTCTTATATCAATTTTCACACTCGCACACACACACACACACACACACACACACACACACACACACACACACACACACCATACACACACATGCACACACGCACGCACACACGCACACGCGCACGTTTCTATACATAAATATTTTAATTATTTTTTTATTAATAGATTTTTTATTTTTGTCAACATATATATAATCTATTTGTTACTTACTTACTTACTTACTTATCTTCACGCACAATCCCTAACGGGGTAGCCAGAGAGAACAGATCGCCAAGTGTCACGATCCTTACATACCTCTTTCGCTTCTTTCAGGTTCATTAACTTCTTCATACATGCACGTCTCCGAGTCCGAGTACTCTTGACCCTCCCCTCTTCGAGCAATTTGCTCACATGGTCTTCGAAAGTTAGTCTCGGTCTACCTCGACACCTTTTAATATTTACTTTCGCTCTATATATTTTCTTCACCATTCGGTCTTCACTCATTCGTTCAACGTGCCCAAACCATTGGAGTACGCCCCTATCAATTTTTGTGATAAGGTCATCTTTCAATCCTGCCATATTGCGAATCTCTTCGTTTCGCTTTCGGTCGGCTATGGTAACGCCACACATTTTACGAAGAGATGGCATCTCCACTGCATTCAACTTGCTTTTATGCTTCTTCTGGCATACCCAGGTTTCGCTGCCATATAACAAAGTCGGTACCAACACTGCATTATGTATTGCAAGGCGTGCACTCTTCACCACGCCTTGCCTTTTTACTAATGCATTCAGGGCACCATTGACTTTGTTTCCGGCAGCGACACGCCTATCCACATCTAAATCACATCTTCCATCCCGGCTGAAAGCACTCCCCAAGTATACAATTTCATTTACATGTTCTAGACATTCCTGATTTACCCATATTTCACATTTCGTTCTCTCTTCGTCCTTTTCAAATACCAGATCTATAGATAATCTATTTGTTAATTAAAAATTATTTGTTAAAATGTATTAGTGAAATAAAGCATTATTATTTCTTTTTTATCTCCCGTTTTGAGGGGTAAAGAAAGATATATTCAGCGGGCTTTACACCAAGCTAAAATGATATATCTTATGTGTATAGAAACTGTAAATAAATAAAAATGTGTTCTTACTTCTTACCTATCATAGGACAAAAATTTACGCACAATCCTACAGGTATTTAAAATAACAGCTTTCTGTAATTCTACATATATTGAAGAGTGCAACTGAAGTAATTTTAGACTATTATGTAAGGATTTCGGTACTACTCCAGTAGCCGAAATGACAATAGGAACCACTTTTACGTCTTTGGCGTGCCATTGAATTTTTATTTCCATTGTCAAATCGAAGTATTTTGTAATCTTTTCAGTGTATGTTTGACTTAGATTGTGGGTGTTTGGTATAGCTATATCAATAAGGTAAACAGATTTGTTACTTTTATCAAATAAAGTTAAGTCCGGTCTATTATAGTGAACAGTCTTATCAGTTATTATGGTTCGATCCCAGTACAATCTAAAATTAGCGGATTCTAAAATTACTTCAGGTATGTATTTATAATAAGAAACTCTGTGTTTAATTAGTTTGTGATAATACGCTAATGATTGATGTATAATCGATGCAACCTAATCGTGTCTGTGCTTATAATCAATTTGTGCTATTGCTTTACATGCTCCTATAATGTGTTGAATAGTTTCAGAACTACTTTTACATCTTCGACATTTATCGTCCTTTAGATTGATTTCTTTTATTATGTGCTTGCGGTAATTTTTTGTCTCAATAACCTGGTCTTGAATTGCAAGCATGAATCCTTCTGTTTCAGGAAATAATTCACTGCGTTTTAGCCAGGCGTTGGAGGTATCTTTATCTACGTTTGAATCCATCAAGTTTAAACGGTGGCGCCCATGAAGAGATTTTTGTTGCCATATCTGCACTTACTCCTGATTTGTCTTCTCAGTCAATTATACATTAGTTTCTGAAAGGTCAAGAGGAGTGAATTTTTTGTCAGCTTTTACCATAGCCTTATGTAACGAAAATTCTTGCGATCGTAAATGAAAAAATGCTCTCAGTGATATTATTTGTTTATTTTGTAAGTTCTGAATGTCTATGAGTCCCCTTCCTCCTTCTCTTTTTGGGCAATGTCTGTCGCTGAACACATGAGCGTGGATGGTGTTTTCTATATTTAGTCATAGTGGTGTTAATTATTCGTTGTAATTTTATAAGGTCAGTCTGCGACCATTTTATTATTCCAAAAGAATAGGTTTAGTACAGGTATTGCGAATGTGTTAATGGCTTTAATTGTGCTTCAGGAATTCAATTGAGTATGTAATATTTTATGCAATCCCATTTTAAATTGTCGTGTTAATGTAGACTTAGTTACCTTGTGATGTATTTGTTGCGATTGCTGATACCCTAAGTTATATCCTTCGTTTTGATCTACTGGACCTATAATCTGAAAATCATTGAGTTGATAATTATTAGATTCAACGTGTCCTCTGCGTACTGATTGTATTTTACACTTATCTAGACCAAATTTCATATGAATGTCATTTGAGAAGCTCTGTGTTAAGTCTGCTAACTTATAAATATCGTTCAGGGAGCTACCGAATAGCTTTATGTCGTCCATATACATGAGGTGCGATAGAATATAATAACTATCGTCATATTTAATTTTATATCCCATTTTGCTGTAATTTAAAATATTTGAGAGTGGGTTAAGTACCAGGCAAAACCATAACGGGCTGAGAGAATCCCCTTGAAATAGACCTCGCTTAATATTAATTAAATTGCTATAGGTATATGTGTTATTGCACTTTAATTTAATTGCAGTTTGCCAATGGTCCATAAGGTGCTTTAAAAAGCGCACAAGTGTTGGGTGAATTTTATAGTGTTCTAGTATAAAGACTAACCATGAATGTGGGATTGAGTCGTATGCTTTTTTATAATCTATGTACATTGTGTATATATTACGTTTATTAATGAATGCTTGCTTTGATACTATAGCATCTATCGTTAACTGCTCTTTACAACCTTGACTTTTTTCCGACATCCTTTTTGTTCTTCAGCTAGGATATTATTGTCAAATGAGAACTTGTAGATTTTTTCTTTTATGCATGCTGTAATAATTTTATATATGGTTTGAAGACAAGTTATTGGTCTATACTTTTCTGGGGTTGTTGAATCCTTTTTATCTTTTGGTAACATATAAGTAATTCCTTGTGTAATAAAGGTAGGTAGTGTTTCTGGTGATTCTATGTATTTATTTATGTGATCTAGAAGTAACTTGTGGGTGTAAGTTAATTTCTAGTGCCAGAAATTATGTATATGGCCCGACCCTGCAGCTCTCCAATTGTGTGTATAAGCAATAACAGCTCTGAAGAGTTCTAGGTCAATATTATATATGCCATTTGTGGGAGATTGCTTAACTTTTCTGTGTCATTTTCTATCCATTTATTATTTGTATGTCTTACCGGTTTAGACCATATATTTTACCAGAATACTCGAAAATCTTCGGGTGTTGGAATTGTTGAACTTGTTGAGGTTAATTCTTCACCGCTTTCTGCTAAGTTCCTATAAAATGCTTTTTCATTGTAATAAAATTTCGTGTTTTGTTGCTTTCTGCGTGTACATTGTGTATATCTTTTTAATCGGTTTGCCGTAGAACTTAATTTTTGTTTGAGGGTATCTAGAAAATGCAAAATTCTGAATTAACATGTTCGTATCTTGAATGTGTTTGATACTTATTTATAATGATTTGGACTTCTTTAGTCACTTTTTTGCTTCGATTTCCACTCATTTACTGCGTTAACCTACTTATTTTTTTCCTCAGATCATCTATTTTATTTTGCAAACGCCTCTGCCAAGCACGTAAACTTTTTATTTCACGCCTACTAGAATTCTCATTTAAAAACTTTGTTCCGTTTACCTGGCTTGCTGTATAGGCGGCGCAATAAGTAGCTGTATGGATAGTTTCAAAATCACTTTCACAATTTAAATATTCTGGCAAAATTTTTAGATTAATGAAATTTACAATAGCTGTTAGTTTTTTAGCACATTTTTGTTTTGGGATATACGGTCTGTTAACAGGATCACACGCTGCATATATTTGATAAGCTTCTGAATATATTTGTTGTATCTTTTGTTTTTCGTCGTTATTTAAATCAACTAACTCTTCTTTATCTACCTCAACCCTGGCTTGTGTAATGAGACTTCCTAGTTTTGTATTTTCCGTATTGGGTTCTAATACGTTGTCCTTATTGAGTGATAAATTGTCCCGCCCCAACTCAAATCGCTGAATCGCTTCTATTCGTACTACTTAGCGGTGCATCGCTACATCGCGGTTGACTGGTTGTTGGTTCCAGGATTCTGAGTTGTGATTTATCAGGTAGCAGTTGTAAATTTAAAACAGATGTTGATTCTACTGGCGATCCTGTTGTGGGGCTTTTGCTGTTACAGTTATTTGTTTCATAGCTAGCTTGCAAACATTTGTTTCTAATCTCTCTTCTTATTCGTGTAGTCGCTCGTCAGAAATCAGTTTGTTTTTTATTATGGATCTTCTTTGATCGGCTAATCTCTGTTCTGATAAATGCGACAATTCTGGGCAGTATTCTATAAATTTACAGCGTGTTCTTTTTCTGTAGGCTGCTAAATTAGTTTCCAAGTCTGTGACTTCAAAATAAGATTTTGTTAATTTTTCATTTAGTTCGCTAGACCATCGCATCTTTACATTAATTGGTTGTTTTCCATTTATTGTCATATTCCTACAAACATTAGGGGGAATGTTTTCGTCCGATGTCTTTTCGTAACTATTCAAGGCATTTTGAACTTCGGATTTAATTTGTTTCAGGTCCTTTGTAGGGAAGAGCTTATTTCTTAGAATGGCTCTCCGTTGATCTCCTATTCTCTGTTTCGAAACCTTAATATTTGGGAATTCTGCAGAGAACTTTTTGTATAATGTGTCTAAATACTGCTTGGTGTTTGTTTCCATGTCAGTTGTGTAAAGGTATGTACGCCAGATGAAGCTGTTCATTTCATAAGTCCATTTCTTCCTTTGCGCACGGTTGACGCTAGTAGTGGGTGAAGAGTTTGTTGCTTTTGCTTCTTCCACAACAACTACTAACGATTTTGAGTAAAGTGTTGGTTTTGTAATGCGCTTATCATAGAAGTTGGATGAGTTACTTGAAAACGATGTGTTATAAGAAGAAGGCGGAGAGTAGTGGGGCTCGCTGCAGCTTACATCGGGTTCCTCTAGTGTGTCACTTAAATTCGGTAATAGGTATTGACTTTGTATAGTGGTCCCATTCTCTTCGTCATTTTGGTGCTCCTCTCGTTGTTTCTTGGTTTCAACTTTAAGTTTTAAGCTCTCTTCTTTAGATGAGTCCTGATTTTGTACCTTGCGTGAACGCAGATTATATATCTCTTTATTAAAACTAACATTCATCTTCGGCCAACGAGTAGTAAGGGAAATATATTGTCCATCTCCGCAGCGCCCCGCTTGCGAAGATAAGGCTAATGTAAAAACCCTGAGGTTGCCCGAGTTGCAGAATCCTCCGCTTGCGACTGAGCGCCCTCTCAGCCATGCACCCTTCGGCACGGGTCGGATCACACCTTGAGTTTGGGTTTTTTTTTAATTTGAAGAGGTTTACTCCTCTCGGATGGGATTAACAGGTTATACTTGGGATTACAATTCGGGATTAAGATAGGAAAAAAATTGGGTTTATCGTTAGGATAGGAAAATGGATTATTGGGTAATCGGATAACTGGGTGATTGGGATCGTTAGTTAGAAGGTATACATTTTTGTCCCTTATTTCGATCCAGTTGTTATGACCGTATAAATCCAGTACCGTTCTTTTGAGCCCCCCCACCACGTCAAGATGATCCCTTGGGGGGGGGGCATTATTATTATTATTATTATTGGTATTAGTAGTGTATTCTCATCCGGTTGGGCTGAATAAATATATAAAAGGAAATGATAAATATACATAAATATATATTTCATATACTCGTACCGGTATTATTATTAGAAACGTTTTATACGTGGTAGAGACATGCTGCAGCTATATTACTGGTATAGTTGTAGCACGAATGAATCGGCTCAACCGAGGAAGGACCACGCTCGCGCTCTTATAGAATACCAGCGTAAAATAGCAGCTTAACGCTGCTATGTTTCGTATAGTGAGTGTAAAGAACTGGAGACCCTTTTTACTGAAAACGAGGCAATCCATCTTAGTCCTCACGGGTTACAACATCATCTGCATCTCGATTCGTTATCGAGGATAGATGTAGATGTCTATGGGCTGCAGTAACCACTTAAAATCAGCTGGACTGCGTGCTCGTTTGTAACTCTTACCCTATAAAAAAACTGCGAGGTATTATGTCATAGTTCCCATAGTTAACAAAGCATGTGACGTGACCTTTTATTGTTATACATGTGCCCATGGGCAACAGTAGTCACTTACCATCAGATGAACTATTAGTTCGTATGTCACTCTAATGTTATAAGTAAAACCTTATTTGTTCATGTGATAATTTATATTCATCTAATTACTACAGATTCTTCCAAGCCTATCCTCAATCAAAAGAGTTCTTTAAAATGATAAGAAAATTGCCCGAAGAAGAGTATGCACAAAACTTCCAGTTTAAGGCACACGTCATCAACTTGATGTCTGCACTCAACCAAGCCGTCACTAACCTTAACCAGCCGGAGGTAGTCGCTGTTATGATGAACAAGCTCGGGGAGTCACATCGCAAGAGAAAAATTCAAGAACAAAATTTCCACGTAAGGATTCTTTTCTACATAGACACATATCTTTATATAATAAAAAAGAGAAAGAGAAGAGGTTTTTTTCGAACCAGTGGTAACGTAAAGTATTGACTTTTACTTGTAATCTATATATAAAAATTATTCTATTCTATTCTATTCTATTCTACTCTATTCTATTCTATTCTGTTCTATTCTGTTCTTTTCTATTCTGTTCTGTTCTGTCCTGTCCTGTTCTGTTCTGTTCTGTTCTGTTCTATTCTGTTCTGTTCTGTTCTATTCTATTCTATTCTATTCGGTTCTATTCTATTCAGTTCTATTCTGTTCTATTCCGTTCTATTCAGTTCTGTTCCGTTCTATTCCGTTCTATTCCATTCTTTTCTATTCTATTCTATTCTATTCTATTCCGTTCTATTCCGTTCTATTCCGTTCTATTCCGTTCTATTCCGTTCTATTCCGTTCTATTCCGTTCTATTCCGTTATTCCATTCTATTCCATTCTATTCTATTCTATTCCATTCTATTCTATTGTATATAAAAATCAATTGCTGTCCGTTAGTCTCTCTAAAATTTAATAACGGTTCGACTGATTATGATGAATTTTTTGCGTGTGTTTAAATGAGTCCCTAGACGGTTTAGATTCACATTAGGACCCGATAAAAACACGTATTGTAAGCTTCAATTCAAAATATAGCACTATAAGATTTAAAAAAAATTGCGCTATTCCCTCAACGAGTTTTGTTAAGAAACATAAATTATATATTATCAATTGATGGAAATTGGTTAATTTTAATTTATTAGCATATTTCCTTTTTCTCATTTCGAACATTTAGAAATGGATATATAATTTTCGTTCAAAGTACCTAAGTTATAAAAAGAAAATATTCTTTCCAATTCAAGCCCGTATAAAAATATTTTTAATACGGGTTTGAATTTCTCAATAAATATTAAAACTTATTGAACATAATATAATTAATTTGAGTTAGCTAATCAAAACTTTCACAAAACCACGCGTCTTAAGTGCCGCTCATATGGTGGTAGTACTTATCTTGTTACGAATTCCAGTATCAACTGATTTTTTTTCTAATTTGACTTCTTAAATAGCGTAAATATTTAATATACAATACCAACTTAAATAATAAGAGATGGTAACTTATTCAAGTAAACTTGTGTCAAAAAATCAACACTTGCTGTAATTTACCTTAATCGTGTAAATACATTATGTAAATAATATTTTCATATTAAAGAATACAAAACGAGATATGAAGATGCACCTTTAAGTATTTAAATATATATAATTTAAGGCTTAAAAACGTGAACAGGATTTGTATGATAATCAACTCCGTATTACACGCTTATGTAAAATAAACGATATTTATTATTACCTTTACAGGACTTAAAAGAAGTCATAGTAAAGATGTTCATCGAAGTATTAAAGCTGGACGAGTCAACACTTGGCGCGTGGGGCAAGACTGTTGGCTTCTGGTACAAACACATCTTTGAAACACTGAACTCTGGAGATGAGAGCAGCTAACACGTGACTGAATATACTGAATTCGAAATCGGCACATGTTTTACCTGATTTTATTTTAAACGTAATTGGTAATAAATATATTTTTTCAAATAGTAGATAAGGTTTGAATGCTAAAGAAAATTTATAGATTATAAATCTTTTAATTTTTATTGTAAATAAACGCAACATTTTAATAAGGTTTGAATGCTAAAGAAAATTTATAGACTATAAATATTTTAATTTTTACTGTAAATAAACGCAACATTTTAATATATTATACATAGTAATGTGAACATTTGCGTCTTTTTTTAATAATTTAGATTGATGAATGCGCATACCCATGGAGAAGTCACAATTGTCGTCTCTGAGTACTTACATGTTTTTACTCTTCGAACCGAAATCTAGTACTACGGCCTGTGACAGACAAGGCTAAGAGCTAGAACATTGTAATATTTGTGGCAAAGTGGACGGCCCAACTAAAATCTGGATGAATTACATTCATGGATTTGCCATAGTTGCCATGTTTGGCAAGCGGGTTGGCAACCGCAGGTTTTTATAACTTTGAGTTGTTATCAAGAAGATGCTGCTTCCCATCACCCGTTTCAGTTCAACTTTATTACCTCTCCTGACACTCGCGGAGGATATGGGATAGAGATATTCTTAACCGTCGATACATGACAATAAGTACTGGATATTGTTTCCCAATGGTTTGCAAAAACAATGTTTTTTTAAACGCAGAAAAAAGCAAAAAGTTTACAGCTTACATTAAGTGGTCGCAGAAAACTATAATAAATTTAGAAAATATTGATTTGGATTTTGAAAGTGCAGTCGTATCTCTTAAACTTACTATTGATTTCAACATCTAGCTGGAATATATGTTACCTACATACATACATAACAACAAAGGGTTCGACGAAGGTTCACTAGTGTGGTTGCACAATCCAGTCCGCAGCAAAGGGAAATCTCTTAAGCTTCAAGCTAAATGGGACGGCCCGTACCGGATTGTGACCAGGATCAACGATGTATGACCAGGAACAACAAAGGGTTCGACGAAGGTTCACTAGTGTGGTTGCACAATCCAGTCCGCAGCAAAGGGAAATCTCTTAAGCTTCAAGCTAAATGGGACGGCCCGTACCGGATTGTGACCAGGATCAACGATGATTGATGCGGCATAACACTACCGTCGTTGTTTATTATTAAAAGCATTAGGTACGTACTTAAAACGTACGTTTACGTTTTCAAAGAGTATCCAAATTTTACATTATAATTAAATATATCAATAATGAAATACCGTTATTGTGCTTTTTTTAAAATACGAGTAAATAAGACTTCTACTTTTATTTGAAATTATCCTTTGAACGTGATTTATGGACAACAACTACTCGTATGGGCGCTGCTGGGAATACGCGCGACAAAATACCTAAAACTGTAGCCAAGCGACCGTTACGAATGTGTGTGTAGTAAATTAGATAGATATTTATGTATCACATTCCTCTCTCTCTCGTTCCGAATATAAAAGATAAAAAGGACAGAATTTTAGATATTGTTGCGTAAATAAGTCAACTAGCGCCATCTAGTGTCAGCGAGGGGAGCTTTGCAGAAAATGACATCACAAATCTTTCGATCGACAGCGCCACCCGAAGAACTAAGTTTCTGGAAAATCTACACTCGAATACTCGTTGCCTGGCGCGCATTTACTTGAATGTTCGGGACGCTTCTTTGCTAATTATATAAATAGGCGCTGCAAGATGCGATCGGGCAGAGTTGAACTCGGCGACACAAGCGAAGCTTCGGAACGGAATTAAGTGAATTAGTGTGTTTGATTATTAGTGTTTTAAGTTTTAATTTGTTTAAAGTAAATTAAAGTGTTAATTTAGGTAATTTTATCGGCAATTTTTATTGTCACGAACCTCAAGCTCGTAACAATTGGTGTCAGAAGTGGGATAAAATCATGCCGATTTTACCTAAGGAGGAAACGGAGGGTGTCCGTACCCGAAGTCAACGCCAGCAGGAGACGGACCAAAGAAGATTTGGTGGTGCAACGCCGCAGACGTTGGAGGGCCAGCCGCCGGCTGCAGGCCCGTCAGCAGCTCCTACATCTGCAGCACCTGATTTAGGTGCTATGATGTTGATGTTGCAGGAACAGGTCCGTCAGTTAAAAAGAGCAGCTGCAGAGCGGACAAGAGGAACAGGCCCGCCGACAGGAGGAACAGGCCCGTCGGTTGGAAGATCAGCAGATGGAACAGGCTCGTCGGTCGGAAGAGCAGATGCTCCTCATGAAGGACCTTCACGCTACCTTTGGGAAAGAGATAAGGGACGTGAAGGATAGGGTTGCTCAACACGACAACCGCCTGTCGGAAGCTGAAACCCGAATCGAAGAACATGAAACACGAATCAACCATGTGAACAATCGGGTTGACAACGTCATGGCTGACGTGAAGAAAATGCTAAACGACCTCAAACTTGGGGATGGAACTACAGCTCCCGTAGTAGCTGCAGCACCTTCGCTACGTGGATTCAAAGTGCCGCCGTTCGACGGGACCTCTTCCTGGTCGGCCTACAAAATCCAGTTCGAGGCCGTCATGGAGGCGAACGGCTGGAATAAAAGCCAAGCCATGACTGCACTCACCCTAGGCCTGCGCGACCAAGCCTTAACTGTGTTGGAAGCTCTTGGTAAGAAAGTGACCTATGAGCAGCTTCTTGAGGCCTTGGAAGCGAGATATGGCGACGCTCATCTGGAACACGTCTTTCGCGCGCAGCTTAAAGATCGCGTGCAGCGCAGCAACGAAAACCTGCAGCAGTGGGCCCTTGAGGTGGAGAAGATGGTTCAAAAAGCATACCGGTCTGTACCTGCGCTCATTGAAGGGAACCTGGTCCAGACATTCATCGACGGCATCCGCGACCTTGAAGTCAGAGCTGCTGTGAGACTCGGGCACCACGACACGCTTAAGAACGCCTTCGCCCATGCACTGGAGGTGGAAGCCGTGCGGCAGGATAATCGTTCCCATCGCATCAGGGAGGTTGCAGCAGCTACAGTTCGCGACCGCAACAGAGGATATAGCCCTAGGTGCTATGGCTGTGGGGAAAAGGGCCATCTTCGATCCAGCTGCCCTAAGCGAACCCTAGAAAGGGAAGGTGAACGATCTCAGGGGGGTAGTGCGGCCAACAGCACCGCCCAGCAGCAGCAGGGAAACGAGTAAAAGCCAGAACTGCGGGGCGGGTGCTGGCTGATGTTAAAAGAGCCCCAAGGATCTTGATCTCACAAACCCATGATGGGAACAGTCTAATCATCAAGAGCGAGGTCAACGGAATGCCGTGTAAACTGACCATAGACACTGGAGCCTCTCGTACGGTTGTTAGTTCCCAACTTATAAGTCAGTTCCTTGGGGACTCCGCATACAACCGAGAACGCATTAATTTGGTAACAGCCACCGGTCAGCGTATACCCGTCCGTGGAGAGAAGGAGTTGGAGTTGAAGCTAGGCAACGTGATCTACCTGCATAATGTCATCGTGGCTGATATACTGGACGACTGCATCCTAGGCCTAGACTTTATGAGGAATAATTGTTGTGAGATCGACGTTAAGCAAGGTGTTTTGAAATGTGGACAGGAGGAACTTTTTATGGAAGGTGCGTTACCAGGGAACGTGTACAGCATTAAGAAGATTGTTCTTCCGCCGAGATCGGAAACGATTGTTCCGGTTAGTCTTCCTCGAAACGCTGGGCAAGCTCACCGTTGTGTACTTGTGGAAAGGGTAAACAATGACCTTCCATGGAAAGTAGCTCGAACCTTGGTCAGGACCACTGACATCTCAGGAGTACGTGTGCTGAACCTTTGCGACCGGGAACAGATTATAGAAAAAGGCACACTGATTGGTACTTGTGAGGAAGTGGATTGGTTACGTCGGTGCCAATATATATCGAGTGGGACCCCCAGCAAGGATGCAGAAACGAGAGTGACCACACTTTTGGAAGACTGTCGCAGTGTTCTCTCCCCAAACGAATTGGTCAAGGCGAAGAAGTTGTTACTCAAGTACGCCGATGTATTCTCATCAAACGATGCTGACATAGGAAAGACTGGCTTAGTTCAACACAAAATAAACACAGGAGAAGAATTGCCTATCCGTCAGCGGCCAAGAAGATTGCCGGTAGCACGTGAAAAGGAAGTGGAAACCATGATTGAAAGAATGGTGAAGAATGGTGTTATTGAACCTTCCTCTAGTCCATGGTGTTCACCAGTGGTGCTGGTGAAGAAGAAGGATGGCAGCATGCGGTTTTGTGTTGACTACCGCCGTCTGAACGACGTTACGAAGAAGGACAGCTATCCCTTGCCAAGAATTGATGACACGCTGGACATGCTTACAGGAGTAAAGTGGTTTAGCACGCTGGATCTAAAAAAGTGGCTACTGGCAAGTTGAAATTGACCCTAAGGACAAGGAGAAAACTGCGTTCTCGACGGGAAAGGGTCTGTGGCAATTTAAAGTAATGCCGTTTGGGTTGTGCAATGCTCCAGCAACGTTTGAAAGGCTGATGGAACTTGTACTTACCGGGCTAATTGGCGATGCCTGTCTTGTCTACTTGGATGACATCATCATCGTAGGCCGTACGTTTGAGGAACACCTTCAAAACCTGGAACGCGTGCTCATGAAGATTCAGAGTGCCAACCTCAAGTTGAGCCCGAAGAAATGTTCACTATTCCAACGGCAAGTTAACTTTTTGGGGTTTGTAGTATCGGAAGAAGGTATCCGCACAGATCCAGAGAAAATCGCCGCTGTCAAGGATTGGCCGGTTCCAAAAGACAAGACGCAGGTTAGAGCATTTTTGGGTTTGTGCTCCTATTACCGGCGATTTGTGAAAAACTTTGCAGATATAGCCAAACCTCTGCACAAGTTAACCGAGGAGAAGCGACATTTCTGCTGGGATGAAAGTTGCAATATGGCATTCCAGGAGCTCAAGGACCGTCTGTGCAAAACACCTATTTTGGGATACCCTGATGCAAGCAAAGAATTTATAGTTGACACA